TTAGTGTAAAAACTGCCATATCCCCTCCCCTAAATCCTCAGTCTTCTCTCTCCTGTTCTTTTGTCTTATACCTTAGAAAAGAATTAAAATAACTCTATCCAATCAACCAAGTAGTCCTATGACAGATACAAAGTTCAAAGTCAAAGGCAACTTTTAAACATGTTCTAGGTACACTAGGTTATGGCTGCCTTAACTAGGTAATGTTTAGATCAAATTTCTTCTCAGATAGCACTTTTGGTGTTAGAAAGTGCTGAAGTAAATATCCAGGAGTATAATATGTCTGTATGGCACTCTTTTCCAATTGAAAATATTTTATAGTGAACAACAAAACTAAACATGACAAACGCATCCTAATTGCAGTATCCACTCCATTAGGATTCCCCTAGCAAGGTTTCTCCTGGCAATTTTGCATATATATAGGAATCAGTCTTGGAGGGTAATGGAGGTGTAATAGTACTATTTATATTTTTGCTCAGCTGTATCAGAACTGAACAGATGTGTGCCCAATGGTACAGGTATTCGATGACAATATTACCGAAATTCCACACTTCGATTCGGGAGTGATCTGCACCAAGAAAAAAAAAAAAAAGAGGGATAGTTTTGTTATTATGTTATATATCTTATCATTATTAAAATATTTCAATGTTCTGATTAAATTTTCTCAGATATATTTTCAGTCAAAAACATAGCAAGTTCTTATTTAAGTGTGTAATTGCAGGGAAATAGATAAGTTTTGGTATATTCATGTAATGGGATACACTCAAAAACTCAAAACCAAACTCACTGCTGTCGAGTCGACTTGGACTCATAGTGGCCTCTATGGCTGTAAATCTTTATGGAAGGAGACTGCCTTATCTTTCTCCCATGAAGCAGCGGGTGGGTTTGAACCGCTTACCTTTTGGGCTAGCTGCCAAATGCTTTAACCATAGCACCACCAGAATCCCTTTTAATGGAATAGAGCTACATATATCACTATGGATGAGTCTCAAAAATACATTGTTGAACACAAAAATTAAGTTGTAGAATAATACAAATACAATTGAAAAAGTTTAAAAACCTAAAAAATATCATTTATGGATTCATTGTTGTTGTTAGGTGCCATCAAGTCATCTCCTACTCACAGTGACCTTATTTACAAGAAACGAAACACTTCCTGGTCTAGTGCCAGCCTCACAACCCCTACTACATCTGAGCCCATTGCTGCAGCTGCCGTGTCAATCCATCTTGTTGAGGGCCTTCCCCTCTTTTGCTAATCCTCCACTTGACCAAGCATGGCATCCATCTCCAGAGAAGGGTCCCTTCTGACAATATGACTAAAGTAGGTGAGGCGATGTCTGGTCATCCTCACTTCCAAGGAGCATTCCAGCTGCACTTCTTCCAGGACAGATTGTTAGTTCTTTTAGCAGTCCACAGTACTTTCAGCATTCTTTGCTAACACAACTCAAAAGCATCAACTCTTCTTCAGTCTTCCTTATTCATTGTCCAGCTCTCACGTACATATGTGGTGATTGAAAATACCATGGCTTGGGTTAGGTGCACCTTAGTCTTCAAGGAGATATCTTTGCTCTTCAGTGCTTGAAAGAGGTCTTTTGCAACAGATTTTCCCAGTGCGATACATCTTTTGATGTCTTAACTGATGATTCCATTGGTGTTGATGGTAAAACCAAGTAATATGAACTCTTGACAACTTCAATCTTTTCTCCATCTACTGTGATGCTGCTTATTGGTCCAGTTGTGAGGATTTTTGTTTTCTTTATATTGAGGTGTAATCCATACTGTAGATTCTAGTCTTTAATCTTCATCAGTAACTGCTCTAAGCCATCCTCACTTTCAGCAAGCAAGATTGTGTTGTCTGCATATCACAGGTTGTTAATAAGCCTTCCTCCAATCCTGATGCCACGTTCTTATTCATATAGTCCAGCTTCTCGGATTATTTGCTCAGCATACAGATTGAATAAGTATGGTGAAAGGATACAATCCTGGCGCACTCCCTTCCTGATTTTCAACTGTGCAGTATCCCCTTGTTTGGTTCGAATGACAGCCTCCTGGTCTGTATACAGGTTCCTTATGAGTACAATTAAGTGTTCTAGAATTCCCATTCTTCTCAATGTTATTCAGAATTTGTTATGATCCACACAATTGAATGCCTTTTCATAGTCAATAAAACACAAGTAAACATCTTTCTGAAATTCTTTACTTTGAGCCAAAATCCGTCTGACATCAGCTATGATGTCCCTCGCTCCAAGTCCCCTTCTGAATCCAGCTTGCATTTCTGGAAGTTCTCTGTCAATATACTGCTGCAACTGTTTTTGAATTATCTTCAGTAAGATTTTACTTGCATGTGATATCAATGATATTGTTAGATAATTTCCACATACTGTGGGATCACATTTCTTTGGAATGGGTACAAATATGGATCTCTTCCAGTCAGTTGGCCAGCTAACTGTCTTCCAAATCTCTTGGCATAGCCAAGAGTGCCTCCAGTGTGGCATCTGTTTGTTGAAACATCTCAACGGGTATTCCATCAATTCCCGGAGCCTAGTTTTTTGCCAATTCCTCTAGTGCAGCTTTGACATCTTCCTTCAATACCATTGGTTCTTGATCATATGCCACCTCCTGAAATGGATGATCATCTACCAATTCTTTTTATTATAGTGACTCTGTGTATCCTATCCATTTTCTTTTGATGTTTCCTGCATCATTCAACATATCGCCCATGGAATCTTTCAGTATTGCAACTCGAGGCTTAAATTTTTCTTGAGTTCTTTCAGCATGGGAAGTGCTGAGCATGTTCTTCCCTTTTGGTTTTGTAACTCCAGCTCTTTGCACATTTCATTATAATAACTTTTTCTTTTTGAGCTGCTCTTTGAAATCTTCTGTTCAGCTCTTTTATCCTGTCAATTCTTCCATTTGCTTTAGTTGCTCTCCATTCAAGGGCAAGTTTTAGAGTCTCTTCTGTCATCCATTTTGGTCTTTTCTTCCTTTCCTGTCTTTTTAATGACCTTTTGATTCCTTCATGGATGATGTTCTTGATGTTATCCCACAGTTTCTCTGGTTTTTGGCCATTGGTGTTCAATGCATCCAATCTATTCTTTAGATGGTCTCTAAATTTCAGAGGGATATAATCAAGGTCATATTTTGGCTCTTGTGGACTTCTTTTAATCATCTTCAGCTTCAACTTGAACTTGTACATGAGCAGTTAATGGTCTGTTCCACAATCAGTTCCTGGTCTTGTTTTGGCTGAAGATACTGAGCTTCTCTATTGCCTCTTGCCACAGATGTATTCAATCTGATTCCTGTGTACTCCGTCTGGTGAAGTCCACATGTATAGCCATCATTTGTGTTGTTGAAAAAAGGTATTTGCAATGAATAAGTTGTTGGTCTTGCAAAATTCTATTGTACGATCTTCAGTGTCATTTCCATCACCAAGACCATATTTTCCAACTACCAGTGGTTCTTCTTTGTTTCCAACTTTTGCATTCCAGTCACCAGTGATAATTAACACATCCTGATTGCATGTTTGGTCAATTTCAGACTACAGAAGTTGGTAAAAATCTTCAATTTCCTAATTTTTTGGCTTTGGTGGTTGGTGCCTTAATATGGTCTTTCTCAATATGGAGTCATAAGCATGTAGTAAAAGTAAAGTAAAATATCATGCATGAAACTGACAAACATCAAATTTATAATAGTATTCTCTCTAGGAAGGGAGGAAAGAGAATGGGATTGGCAGGGTAGAAAGCCTCAACTGTTCCTATAATGTTTTATTTATTTATTTAAAAAATGGTTTGAATATGGCATAATGTTAAGATTAGATATAGAATATAGGTTGGTAATGACTACACAAGTGTTAATCTCTATACATCTATATTTGAAATATTCCCTAATTAAAAAATATTTTAAAATACACAACCACATCATTGTACATTTAGTTTGTTAAACAGCAAACTGTTAAGTTGTCATTGGTAAAAGTTATTTTTTCCCAGGAGTCAATGACTAAATAATGTTAAGATAAAATTACATACTTTAGAGTTGGACCAATCTGGGTTTTAATCTTGGCTCTATCCCAACTGGTTTTGTGATCTTGAACAAGACACTTAATCACTGAGCCTCAGAGTTGTTATGAGGATTAATAAGAAAAGATATGCAAAGATCTGTCACAGAGTAGATGCTCAAAAGATACAAATTACGTCCTTTTTTTCAGGGGCTCCCTCCTCCAGGTCTATGTTTTATTCATTTTTGTTACTCCCACTGTCTAACACAGTCCCTAGACCAATAAATTATTACTGATTTGAATGAAATGAACATTAAATTATAATTGAATAAGAAGTTAAAGTATCAAAAGGCTTCCATATAATAGCTCAGTAACAATAATGACAATTATGTCACTCATGGATATCTATTAGAATTACTCCTGTCTACAAAACAGAATAAGGAGCTCTGGTGGTGCGGTGCCTAAGGCATTTGACTGCTAATCAGAAGGTTGGTGGTTCAAACTCACCAGCCACTCCAATGAAGGAAGACTGGGCAATCTACTTCCGTAAAGATTTACCACCTCAGAAACCCAGTGGGGTTGCTGTGAGTCGGAATTGACTCGATAGCAGTGGGTTTGGTTTTCTGTTTACAAAACAAAATACAGGCACTTCTTATTTTACTGTGTTTTGTAGATAACTGCATTTTTTTCCACAAATTGAACGTTTGCAGCAACCTGTATCTAGTAAGTCTATCAGTGCCATTTTTTCAACAGCATTTTTCAACTTCCTGTCTGTCACATTTTGGTAATTCTCCCAATATTTCAAACTTTCCTATAATGCTATTGCATACTTAACAGACAACACTATACTGTAAACATAACTTTTATATGCACTAGAAAACTGAAGGAACTCTGGTAGCATAACTGCCTAAGGCATTTGACTACTAATCAGAAGGCTGGTGGTTCAAACCCACCAGCCACTCCTCAGAAGGAAGACTGGGCAATGTATTTCCATAGACACCACCTCAGAAACCCAAGGAGGGGTTGCTGTGAGTTGAGATTCACAGCCTTGCAAACCCAATGGGGTTTGCTATGAGTCAGAATTGACTGGATGGCAGTGGGTTTTGATTTTGGGGTCTTCCAGCAACAGGAAGGAACAGGGTTTTCTGAACTAGGTTTAGCCTTCCTATGGTTTTGCAGGTATTATTACAGCAAAAGGTATAATATGGAATAGGGAAGTCATAGAAAATACTCATAAGTCTCAATTTTTATATGAGGCTGACTTCAAAAGGTGAGTACAATTAATTTTCTAAAATTCTCTCTCTTTTGACACACACACACATGCACTGTCTTTTCTCATTCAATTGTAAGTGTTCAATGCTGAATTTAAACAACATTAAACTATGGAATAATTAAATTAGGTTTTTCAAATACTGAAAGTCTTTCCAGATTATAGGTCAGGAACATTAGTGACAATTATGAATTAAAACAAAAACAGATGGCGGGAATGAGAGCCATTAACATTAACAATACCACTTCATCTCATTTTATGGGCTATACTAAACTAGTCAACATACATACTTAAAACATTGAGG